GAGAGGGGGAACAGCAGCCGACTCCCCAATCTACAAGCACAGGAGTTTCCATCCAGAAGGTAGATCACTGTGGCCAACATGTGAGATAAACTTTGGGTAGGATGCTCAAGGAAAACTCCTTCAGCATCCTTGAAGCATTAAAAATGATCTCTGCACTCCAACATCTTCCATCTACCGTCTTCCTTCATGAGCTTTGATTATAATTCCCAACACAACTTCTAGGAACATTTCAAATGAAGTGCTCTAAATATGTTCAATGAGATCATCAATTTGATTTGAAAGGAACGTTACTTAAGAGATAATGTTTCTGGCTTCATGGGCATATATAGAAATAGAAATAAGTGGCTTTTCTAGTAGATTATAGGCCCAAAGTAAATGGAACTATCTGACGTGCCAAGGGAAAATGCAATTTATTACAAGTGCATTGAAGATTGTGGTAAAAAATTTCCAGTAATAGTACGTCAGTAAATGATTTTAATGGCACAAACTATTTCCTTTTTTTTTTTGATGGCTTAAATTTTTCATTAACTATATCTCTTTTTTCCCTACATAAAGAGCTGATAAATCCCACTTCTATAGTCCTGCTTGAACTAACAATGACTAATAACAGCATTTGTAACGTGGCCAAATTTTTTTAAAAATATGAAATTGGTATATTTTAAAATGAATTGGAGATTTTTTAAAGGTTAAAAATGCATTTAATTTTGTGTCTCACAGGGTTTATACTGACTTCAATATTGTATAACTGTATTAATTCAACTGTGAACCTAAAAATTTACAGCCACTTTTGAAAGAGATGCATTGAATATGTTAAAGCTGTAATGAAATGCTTCTTCTAATCAGGTGGTTATTAAATAAATAAAAAGAAATAAAAATTAAAAATAAAACAAAAAATATGAAATTGTTATTCTATATGAGCTGTCAGTGCTTTTAATTTGAAGCAGAGCTAATGCATTATAAATATAAAAGTGTTCAAAAATCAACTAACTTGAATGCTGAAGAGAGACCACACTTTGGACACAGGACTTGGAGCAATGGAGTAGGAACTGCCCTGGAAGCCTCCTCCCTGAGGACCAGCTCTCATGGTATCAGAGGACACTGTGGAAGCTGCTAAGGGAGAAAATCAGTCAGTGATCCTACCCAGCTGTAAAACCTAGTAAATAATAATGACTGGCCTAGCAACTATCCTTATTGGTACAGTAGTGACACTTTCACCTTGGGGCCAATCAATAAGTGTCTATTTGGAAGTAAGGCCTGCTCAGTGGGAGGGAACTCATATGTGGTACTGTAAACATAGCCAACTACACATGCATGGAGTGGTCTGAGGTCCTAGAGAAAAGCCTACTTTTGTCACATCCCTAGCCCAACATAATTTCTTTTCTAAAAAAATTATTATTTTTATGTGTATGAGTATATTTCCTGCATGCATGTAAATGTACCCATGTTGTGCAGTGCCTGCAGAATTCAGAAGATGGTGTTGGATCCCTCAGAACTGGAGTTACAGATGGTTGTTAGCCACCATGTGGGTGCTGGGAACTCAACCCAGGTCCTCTGCAAAAGCAGCCAGTGCTCTTAATCACTGAGCCATCTCTTCAGCCCCTACCAACATAATTTCTTTATTCTAAATATGCATCCTCATATTAAAGACAAGTGTGCCTTTCACCCCTCATCATAGAAACTTCTTTTTGCAACAGATGGAGACTATTACAGAGTTCCAGAACTGGTCAAATGCAGAGAACAAGTGTCTGTGAGACATTTAACCCTAAGTGACGCATCTTCAATATAACTTCTAAGTATAAGATGAATGCATCTCTCAACTCTCACCAGATAAGTTTCCATATACAGCAGATGGTGATTAACACAGAAATCCACAATTGGCCAATGTGTAGAGAACAAGAGGCTGCAGAGTGCCTATCCCTGAACATGACAACTATTTCAAACCTCTGCCCCCAAGGCTCAGGGATCATTGTGGAAGAGGGAGAGGAAATTCTAAGAGCACCACTTCTGAGTGGTGGATGACCACAAAGAAACAGTGTCTTTCACACATCTGCTCAGTTACCCATAAGAAATCACAGTAAAATGACAGAAAGCACACATGCTATTAATAGCTCAAACCAGACAAAATCTCAGCACAGACATGAGGAAATGGGTAAGAAATTCCAACCCAACTTTTGGCAATTGATGACCACTGAGAGTGGGGAAAGACAGTGTCTTACAAGGATGGGGCTCTTGGCAGCCCCAGTGCATGGACCCACACTGAAGGACATTTAGGGAGACAAATCAGACTCTATATGAGATCACATTAAATTGGGTGGGGGAAGGTATTGATATGGGAGAGGATCTAAATACCATCAAACTATGTTGTATGAACATCGCAAAAATTCAATTGAGAATCAACTAATACAATTCAATTTTTTAATTTCAAAAAATAATGTGAACATAAAAAAGATGATTTTTCAGGAGGCAGATGCAAGTAGATGTCTCTAAGATAGAGGTCAACCTAGTCTACAGTGTAAGTTACAGGCCAGCTGGGAATACAGGGAGACTCTGTCTCAAAAACAAACAAAGCCGAAAAAGTGTGACTTTCAACTATTTGTCTGAAACAAAATATAATTGTGTTTAAGAAATAAGCACCCATCCCTTGCCTCACTTAAAACTAGAATGACAAAATTTCTGTATTCCAACATACATATGGATAGCTTCAGAGGGGGAAAAGTTGATCTGCAGGCTACATGGGGGTGGGGGGGAGTCATCAAAAGTTTTACGTAAATGTGAACCCTGCAAACCGAAATAATGACCTGCCTGGCATTATATGTCCATTGGTACAATAATGATATGAGTGTTATGAGGGTAACTAGCTGATTTTCGTTTAGATTTAAAGCTCACTTCAAAGGGGAATCTCAGACATGACACTGTAAACTTTCCCAGGAAACTGTGTCTGGGTGGCCCCAGGCCCCAGAGGAGAACCTGTTACCATTATTTTAGTAAATGGACAAAATATCAAAGTCCCTTACAAATATTTATCTTTGTAGCCATAGATTAGTGTTAGTTTTCAACCTTCACCAGAGAACCTTCTTTTCGCAATGGACAATGGATAACATAGAGATTAGCAGCTAGTAAAAATACAAACAATAAATGGCTATGCAGTGCTTGGCTCTAAACAGGACATCTGTATCATTCCCCTTCCCAACGCTCAAGGGGTACTGTGGGAGATAGGGCAGAGGAGGTAAAGGCCAGAGAGGTTTGTGCAGCAGTGTCTTTTGGACACAGCATGGGTCATGCATTCATGATCTCACCGCAGCTGTGATTCCAAACACAAGATTGTTCCCACCAGCATTTCAGCATGGAAGGAAGAGAGGCTCAGGAGGCCCCATCCTTCCCTGAGAGCAGTGGTGGCTGGTGGAAGGGGCGTCACTTTCTTCAATGGTGCGATTATTAATAAATTGCCTATATTCCAGTAAACAGCCCCCACCCATGCTCATACAGGCAATCTTAGTTTAAACTCAGTGGGTCACACACACAAGCAGTATATATAGGAAGGGTATTTGCTGGGAAGAAGGATTTCCATAGGAGAAGGGAGGGGTGGGACAGGATAACGATAATAAGAAGGACTAAAATTCATTTTATAAGGTATGAAACTGTCAAAGAATAAAAATAAATGTTTTTAAAGAAATGTTTTTAAAATTTAATTCAAATGTTTTTAATAAAAAATGGACAGCTTATTCAGTGGAAACAGGTAACTTCTACTGCACAATATGTCCCAATAGCCTATGTACTGACTTTTTGCAGAGCTTATAAATTTGCCTATTCCAAAGATCAGGATTTACTTGCAAAGAAAGGATGAGTATTTAAAATGAACAACATTAGGTCTCTGCCTTTGAATCAGGATGATGGCTCTTCACTCCGTGGAGAATCACTTAAACGCCCTTGCTTCATGTTCCCTGTCTCTAAAATGGGGCTGAATGAGTTTCTAGCACTGTTGGTTGTTGTGAGCGTTCTATAAGTCAGTACATGTATATGGTATATAAGCAAGCACTGTGCGTGTTTATTATGATGACAAAATATCACTATTGACGTGAAACAAAGTTGAGGAAATCAGCAAGAAAATAAAGGCATAAAAGATAAATGATGAATAAAAGAAATGAAATATTAAAAGGAAAAGAAAAATATGAAGAGATAGAGAAGAAATCTATTTAGCCAGAATTCCATAGCAAATGAAGTGGGAATATAATCAAAAGGACAGCAGAGAGCTTCTCTAATCACAGGCCTGTCCGCGTACGTTCAAAGAGATTCCTGGCTACAAAGGAATGAAATGAAAGCAGGCACATGAAATGCCCTGTAAAACTTCAAAACTTAAGAACCGAAGGGGGAAATGTCCTAAAATTATCTGGAAAGGAAAATCTACACAGCTGACCTACACATGAGTGGGAATCAAAGTTGCAAAAGGCACATCATTAAGAACAGTATAAAACAGAGAACAGTGCAAGGTCCTCACTGTAAGAAAATGAAGCATAACATGATACCAATTAAAATAGCAATCCAACACAAGATGGATATATTTCATTTTTGTATATTGAAAGCTAATATATATTCAAACACTCAGTAATCATAAAGTACAGTTCACACCCTTTCTTAGAAAACACCTATTTGAAGGAAATAAAAATCCTGTGAAATTAAAAAGGAATTAAGGGAAAGGAAGCCACCAGCCTCAAAGGATGCTGGGTGTTGCGGCACACGTCTGTAATCCATCCCCGAGGCAGAGGTGGATCATTTCCTTTGAGAGCAATCTGGTCTATAGAATGAGCTTCATATTGAGAGCTGATCTCAGAGGAAGAGAAGGGGAGACAAGCTGAGAAGGGAAGGCAGGAGAGGAGGGGAGGGGAAAGGGGAAACCTTGGGTTCTCCTGAAATAAATTCTGTCAGCTAAGGGTTTAGGATACCCCCAGGCATGAGTAGCAGAAATTCCTCGCTCAAGTGTTCTTAAGAACAAAGAAAATGTAAGCACTTTGTGTGTTTCTTCAACTTGTAGGCAGAGGCATGAGAGACAGATGCAAAAGCACATCCTCTTTTGTAACCCAGAGCTCATTGTTTAGTATGAGTTTTGGTACATGCAAGAAGGAGTATGACAGGACAGCTCAAGGTGATGGTGTTGAGAAAAAAGATGTGTAGGCATACCCCAGGCAGCGGCCTCAGGGTCCAGGGCCCAGGGCTCACCGACTCTGGGGACAGAATGAGTGTGACGCACCACGTCAGGAGCCTTGTCACACAAGATGACTATTTACCAGACCATAGGATTCTCTCTTTGTTGCTTTCAATGTTGTGCACTCAGTCACACCACCCTGTGCCCTGGTGGAACCTACGGTCAGCAGATCATCCTCATCACCCAGTGGCTGTCGAGACCTGCCTGCAGTCCTCAACATCATAGGAATCTGAGAAGTCTACGGAATTCAGAAAATAACCTAGAAGACTGGCATAAAGCTGTGAAGTTTCCTAACTGGCCACTCAGAGACTCTTGTTGGAGGCTGACCGCTGTGAGGACCATGATTCTCAGTCCTCAACATCATAGGAATCTGAGAAGTCTACGGAATTCAGAAAATAACTTAGAAGACAGTGGCATAAAGCTGTGAAGTTTCCTAACTGGCCACTCAGAGACTCTTATTGGAGGCTGACCGCTGTGAGGACCATGATTCCGCTTTAACCCACTGTAAAACCCTGTGGGGAATCGATGTGTTCTCCAACACCTTGGTCCACACTGGGGTGATTGTGCCGAATGAGGCTCAGAAACAGCCAGAGTGTAACCTGCACGCGAGGACTGAGAACAATGAACTTTGATGAGGAAAACCAAGATTTTTCTGACCACTGACTAAAAGGTAAATCCCTACTTGACATTTCTAAGCACTGTGTAAGAGAAACAGAAATTAAGATTCAAAATCTCATTTTAAGAAACGCGGTCATTTTCTGACCCAAGACCACGCACCAAGGAAAGGGAAGGGGCCTTACTTTGACATTCCTATGTTTAAGAATTAAAGATCATCGGAGTTCTAAAGATACATGGTTTCTCCAGCACCCAGCTCTGACGTATTTTGTAAGATGGATAGGGTTACTCATTTGCTAATGGAAGACATGAAATTGGGGGGTAGGACAAGGGTAGAGATGGAGGGAGGAAGTCTGAATATAATCAAAATTTATCATATGAAATTCTTTTCATTTAGGGGCTGGAGAGATGGCTCAGCAGTTAAGAGCACTGGTGGCTGTTGCAGAGGACCTGGGTTTGATTCCCAGCACCCACATGGTGGCTCACAACCTTCCTAACTAATTCCAGGTCCAGGTGATCCAACACCCTCTTCTGACCTCCACAGGAGTTGCATGACATCTACCTATGTGCAAGCAATACATGCATACACATATGAAAAATAAAATATTAAATATTTTGTGTATTATTTTACTTTACGTGTATGAGTTTATTGCCTGCACACAGCTAAATGCATGCATCCACATAATATATGTATACACATAAAAATGCATAAGAAATACGTGTATAGACATAAAAAATAAAATATTTTTAAATTATTTATATTCTATGTATATGAGTGTATTACCTGCATGTATGTGTGTACCCTTGTATTGGGCACTGCCCACAGAGATCAGAGAGGGCTGGAACTGGAGTTACAGTAGGTTGTTAGCTGCTGTGTGGGTGGCTGGGATCTGAGCCCTGGTCCTCTGCTAGAATGCTCTTAACCAGTGGGTCATCTCTCCAGTCCCTGTATGAAATTCTTGAATCAATAAAATTTCTCTTAAGCAACAAATAAAGAGAATTTATTATCTTAAATATCAGAACTTGCAGAGGAGGGGAGTCCAGAGTTGACCAACGCCTTGGCTCTGGGTTGTTACCAAGGACCTAAGTCCTTCTCAGCTTTGTAGCCTGTCATTTCTCAAAACAGATCACACATGGTCAATGTAGCTGACACCACATTCAGATTGGAGCAATTCGGCAAAATGGAGAATCTCTTCTTCCCCATTTACCTGCTTGTACATTTAGGCAGGGAAGAAAAGCTTTCCAGAAGGAATCTTAGCTTCATTCTCCATTGGCTGGAATGGCCCCACATGTATATTCTAAATAACTACGAGTGAAAAGAATAAGATTTTTTTGATTATTTAATTTAAAATTTATTTTATTATTTATGTGTATGTGTGTTTGTAGTTGGGTATGTGCGCATTGATGCCAGTGCATGCAGAGACCAAAAGAGGGTGTTGTACCCCCTGGAGCTGAAGTTACAAGCAGTAGTGAGGCACCCAACATAGTGTTATGAATCATATTCTGATCCTCCGAAAGAACAGCAAGTGCTCTTAACTGCTGAGTCATCTCTCTAGCCCTTATTCTGATTGTTCAAGGTAAGACAAAAAGCTACCATTTCCTTAAATTAACATGGGGAGAGGTAGATGTTACGCTAGGATTCAGGTTTTACAAATACGATCAAGAGACATGTACAGTTACCAGTTGATTTGGTACAGATTAGAAGTGGAAGACAAGTTCTATGAAGAGCAAGTTTAAGAATGGAATTGATAGTATTATGTAAATACTATTATGTAAATACTTCATCATTGATATCACCATACTTAATGACAGAAAGATAAATGCATATACTGCTGGCATCCGCAGGAAGAGAGAAAGGGAATTAAAATGTTAAAAACATGCATTCATTGCATACAGCTATCATGGTCTAAACTTTCAGCAAGATAAAACATAGCAACGTAGAAGTGTACGGCTCCATTTCCTGAAAGTGAAACTCTGCTGTTGGGTAACTTTGAAAGGCAGATGTTGAAACTAAATGTGTACGTATACTGGATTTATGATAGAGCTCCAATCCATTATCCATAATGCTCTTCTGGACAGCATTTGTCTATTGTCCAATATTTTATTTGCAAATCAGCCATTCTCCATTATCTGTTAACTTTTTTTTAGTAAAGTAATCATAAATGTGAATGTAACTTTTCAGAGCTGATCAATTTTTATAAATTAAAAAATGTTTCAAGCCCTGGGAGGGATGGCTCAGTGGTTAAGAGCACTGGCTACACTTGCAGAGGACCTGGGTTCAATTCCTAGTACCCACATGGTAGCTAACAACTGTCCATAACTTCAGGTCCAGGGGATCCAACAGCCTCTTGACCTCCTTTGGCACTGCATGACAAGGGTGTACCTACCTACATGAAGGCAATGCACTCATACCACATAAAATGAAAATAATAAATAAATGGTTTTTAATGCTGCAAACTATTTGATCTCTATGTAGTCAGAAATATTATTTTCTAAATTCTATGAGACACCCAATTCAGTTTTACTCCTAGAAAACTTAAGTTACTTGAGAAAACAAAACCTCATGAAACATAGACCTAACATTTAATGTCAGGACTCAGAGGTGCATACTGGTTATTCTAGCACTCAGGAGGTTATAGCAGAAATATCCTGAGTTTTCAGTCATACTGAAATACAGAGCAGATACTAAAATACAGAGGCCAGTCTGGGCAATATAGTGACACCTTATCTCCAAAGAACAAACAGACAAAAATCCCTATCTATTGCGTTGAAGAATCTTTAAATTTCAAGAACTAAAAAAAAAAAAATTTTGCACAGAACTTGGTGGCACACGCCTCTAATCCCAGTACTCAGGAGGCAGAGGCACTGGATCTCTTTGAGATCAAGTCCAGCCCAGTCAACATAGCGAGTTCCATGCCAGCCAGAGCTGTGTAGAGAGACCTTGTCTCAAAACCAACCAAACAAACAACAAAGAACCAAAAAATATATTTGCCAGAAGTTCTTTGCTGTCATTAAATTCAAGCATATTTAATGTATTATATTTTAGGAAGTTTCTAAAAACTGTAATTCATTTACCATGAAAAGTCTACATGGCTGTTATAGTAACCAAGCTGGCTCCTCAAGGTGGAGCTTGGTGGTATAATGCCTGTAATCTCACCACTTTGGAGGCTGAGGCAAGTGAATCTCTTTGAGATTGAGGCGAGGGAGACTCAACAAAGAAAAGGAAGAAGAAAAAAAAAGAAAAAGAAAAACTGGTTCCTCAGCTAACCTGAGTGCCACAATATGGCTGTCCATTTTTCACTGCTGTGATTGTCCCAGCCGGGCACGTGTGATTGGCTTATTCAAGGACATTGCCTGTTTCTAGGAATGAACTATACAAACACAAAATCTGCTAGTTGATCCAAAGGTGACATGGACATGACTGTTTTCTGTCCTCTTGATTGCATAAATCTCTCTCTACTCACCACAATTACATGAACTTCCATATCCAGCAGACGAGGACTGCTTAAAAACAAATTGTCCGGGGCTGGAGAGATGGTTCAGTGGTTAAGAGCACTGACTGATCTTCGAAGGACCTGGTTCAATTCCCAGCACCCACATGGCGGGTAATAACTGTCAGTAACTCCAGTTCCAGGGGAATCCAATGCCTTCTTCTGACCTCTGCGGGCATTGCACAACATGGATGCACTTACACATATGTAGAGAACACACTCAGACATATAAAACTAATAAATAAAATATTTAAAACCTCCTTCCCAAAACCAAATTGTCCAGTTAATAAATAGGAAAATAAAAGAACTGACATGTCCCAAAAAATGAAGTAGAAATGGTCAATAGCAGCATGCAAAGATGGACAACATCATAAGCCATGAAGGAAATGCAGAGCAAAACTATATCAAGGAACTGAACAAATGGTTCTGTGATTAGGAGCACTGACTGCTTCTGCAGAGGACTCAGGTTCCATTCCAAGTACCTACACAGTAGCTAATTATCACCTGTAAATCCAGTTCCAGGAAAAACAGGGGCATTGCACACACATGGTACTCTTACATAGACACAGGCCAAATGCTCGTGCACATAAAATAAAAATAAGGATTGGAGAGATGGATCAGCAGTTAAGAGCACTGGCTGTTCTTGCAGAGGACCAAGGTTCAGTTTCCAGCACTCATATGGCAGCTAAGCAGGCAATACACTCATATATAGAGAATAAAAATAATAAATAAAATATTTTTAAAAAGTAAAATGAAAACAAATAAATAAACCAAGCGAAATTTGGGTAGGGAGGTTGGTTTTTTTGTTAATTTGTTTAT